TAAAGAAGTTGGATAAAGATTTATTTACTTTTGGGCTGTTCGTAACAATACAAATTCCTCGGCGTTTTTACCACAGACAAATTTTATTGTCCCACAAAGACTTGAGAATTGGTTATCATTTATTTTGTGGTTTCTGTACTGCTTAGTTTGATGAGAATATAAAGAAGAGTGTTTTGCTTAATCTTAAATTTATAATCAGTTGAAGTAAAATTTCTTTTTTGGCATTAATGAAAGAAAGAAAAAAAAGTGACGGGATATGTCTCGTCGTCGACAGCAGCATAAGGGCAGCAAAAATCAGCCTAAAAGACGATACCAACCATATTTTGACTGTTGTTTTGTGTTCAATAGCCTTTTTTACGCCTATTCAAAGCAGCACTTAAATGTTTGAATCACGCAAAGGCCAATTTCCTTTTTTTTTTTTCTTTAAATTACTATACATTTCCAGACCTGCAAAAAAAAAAAAAATAGAGTAAAACAAAAAAAGCTTTTCTTTTTAGGCTAAAACTAAGCTGAATTTTTTCCTTCTAATTTTTTTTTTTGAAACAAATTCAGTAAAAGTCTCAAAATGTGCAACAAATTTAGTGACTGTAGAAAATAAGAGTCAAAATGAACGATGAGAAAAACAAAAAAAAGTGTTGCTATTTGATAGCTTTGCTTTTTTTTTTTGGTTGTTTCCACACTTCTTTTTTATCATCAAAGTTTTTACTGTAACAAAATTTTTCTAAACTTTTTTTTTTTCTAGTATGTTTTTGTTGTTTCATTTATTTCTTTTGTGTTTTAGACTTTTATCAGCAAAAACTAACTTAGGTTAAACCAGATACTAATTGATTACAGGGAGATATGAGATTACACTAATTTATTTACTGCCTAACGTTTGTCTTCTAAACAGTAATGATGATTTTTGCTGCTGTAGTGGTAAAAAAAAGTGATGTCTAAAAAAAGCAAAATTGAAATTTACAGTGACAAATTTTTGAGAGCAAATCAGCAGAAGGAAAAAAGAAAAATAAGCAAAAAAGTTGGAATCACTTACTGTTTAAAAAAATACGTAACGTTTGTTGTTGATTTCTGTTGTTTTTTTTTAGTTGTGTTTAGCTAATTGTTTGTTTCTTCTTTTTTTTTTTAGTTAAAAATTTTTTCATAATAAAACAGAGTAAAAAACAACAATTCTTAATGCAAATAATTTTAATGACTTCTTTTTGTGTAGATATTTAATTACTATTACAGTCCATTACCTAAAAGAAGAAAACTACAGCTGAATGACAATAAAATATTTGCCAAAAAAATATTTATCACTAATTTGTTTTCTATGATAGGGGGGGGGGGG